TAATTCAAATGTTAGTTAATAGTTGTATACATAAAAAATATCTTCCCTTATGAAATAGTTAACAATAACAATAAAATTAAAGAGTTTCATAAGCCATCATAAGTTAACCCTTTTTTTGTGTATCCACCCAATTTTTTCAGTGAGGCCATGCGCTGCCTTATTTCTTTATCCTCCCAAACTGCAATCTGAGGGAATGGCCATGACAGAAATGGAATGTATGATTCACCAACTAGTGTCACACGCTCAAAATAGAAAATTTGCAAATGGATCACGTTCAAGTAAGTAATAGAGATGGTATGAGTGAGAAAACAATATTTAGATTAACTCCAAAGCAATATTTTGATTATCAAATAAGTAAATAACGCATTACTAGTAGCACAAGGATACAACCACAAATATTATGCCTTGATTTTTCCTTGAAATTTCGTATGCCTTCAATGATACCATCATAAATAAATTTGCTCCAGTTCATAGAAGATAATGCATTTACATCCACAAGTGGCACGAACTATTAATTGTCATGTTCATGGTTGGGGAAAGAAGCCAGCCTATTATGAATAGAGAAAATAAGCACCTAAAAGTAAACGAATTGTGTTTTAATTCTTTCAGTTTCCCAACCAAAGTAGTCAATTAGAGCTCCCTCTTTCCATTAAAAATTAATTTTTTAAGTTCCTCTGTTTGCTCCAAGAACCTGCAGTCCATAACTCAAACCCTGTGTTTGACAACCCCATTATATAATAAACATCCTCAGAGGAGAACTTAATTTATTTACCATGTACATGTAATAGAGCCGTAGCGGGATCAAATTTTTTCACCGACCACTCGCATAAGCTCCTCCTCTCCATAGTGCATGTCATGCAGGTCAACCCTTCTAAACCCATGGCTTTCATTGTATGTTTTTGATCGTCAGTTAACCCATTTACAAATTTTATGACAATTGATGGCGAACAACGTGTACCCATTAGTTGCTGAAAATATATGTAATGCATCACACAAACTGCATAAATTTACATTATGTAATCCATGTAATATATGTGTTCAGAGCACATACCCTTGTATCCTCTTTGCATTAACACTTATATTGCCACCATGTGAAGATGCAGTGAATACCATATTTTGAGTCATACTTTTCCTAACTGCGACATTTGTCTTCCTCTTCATGGTAATAATGTGCATATATGATATCAATACTTGAAAAAACAGACACGATTGGTAGGAGAACTATATAATATTTTTTGCATATAAGAAAATAGTTTGAAGTTAACAAATATTAATTGTGACTTTGTATCGAACATGTGGTAGGCATGATTTTCGTTAAAGCTTTATATTCACATTTGATAGATAAACCTAAGTCCATGAAATATTTGAGTTATGTACAGTATACCATATATATAATGTTTGCAAATTTGTTCAACATGTGGCCGATGGAGTTGTGGGTGTGATAATTTTTAGTAAGTGATTCTATCTATGACACAAAGGTATACCTTCACAGTACTAAAATCGTATAGATCCCCCTGTACTGTTATGGATGAAGTGGTGGATTGGGAAATTACCTAGACGGTGAATCAATATAAGCCATGAACAAACAATAGATCAATAAATTATGCATGGTATAGAGAAGGAGGGAGGGAATAAAGAGATATAGAGATAGAGAGAAATAAAGGCCAAGCATATTGTTAAATCTACATAGAGAGGGAGGGGGAGTGACAAAAAAGGAAAGGTAGAGTGGCTGAGAGGGGGAACAAATGAATTCTATCTTCAAAGTTTGAAGAATTCTGTGAAATGTGGAGCAGGAGTGAGTGGGTAGGAGTTCCATTTTTATGAAGTCGATTTGCAGGAAAAAGTCAAACCCAAAATTGTAAGCTAAATGTGTTAACCCGATGTGCATCCAGCCCGTTTAATCAAAATTTGGTTATTGATAATCCAATATTTATTACTCGACCACCTCAACAGAGGCATCTTAATTGCCATTAAATTACTTAATTGAATTACAAGTACATATCCCAACTACCCAGCCATTTTATTTACAGAACATCCAAAAATCTTTACAGGCAGTCAACATACGTATGTTCTTTATGCAACAAGAAGTGCAACAAAGATGAGAATTGAATTCAATTGATCTACAACCATACATCGTTTTACTCAGGTACCAAACCTTTTGTAAAATGTGCGTACTTTATTTGTGGTATATTTGCTTTATTTATAAATTATTCAAGTAATTTTTGTTATGCCTATTTCATATAATCAATATGATGATATTCTATAGTTTCAATGGATCATTGTGTCACCCTAAACCAAGTAATTGATAATATATTCAGTAGTTTATTGAGTCAATCAACATTTATTATGCATTATCAGATCAATCATGTCTCAAAATTATGAAACATTTTATAACTTAATATCTTTTTGTAATTACATAGGTGGAGTAATGGCGGGTACGATCGGTGACAAAGAAAAATGTGTACTATTAGATCTTAATGTTGATGTAACAGATGATGAGTACAATATGCATATTCAAAATGATCAAACAATTTCTGATCATGGTGTCGAAAAAAATATAGTCGATGGGTTGACAGTATGTGAGGTAATGCAAATGACGTTTACCACACATGAAGCGACTGGGGAGTTTTATAACAATTACCTAAATTTTTTGGGATTTAGTGTTCGAAAGGATGACTTGAAGTGTAACAAAAATAAAATTCCAATGTCAAGACGGTGAGTTTGATCAAAAGAAGGTTATCGAGCACCCAAACAACTTGACCGCAGTGACCACATCCAAGAACCAAGACGCTTAACAAGGGTGGGATGTAACGCAACATTTCGTGTCAAGTATGACAATGGATCTGAACATTGGGTTGTAAAGAACTTCGTCTAGGAACATAATCACCAATTGATTACACCACGTGGTGTGTCATTCCTTCGATCACATAGGCATGTGAAGAGTCCTGANATTTCGTGTCAAGTATGACAATGGATCTGAACATTGGGTTGTAAAGAACTTCGTCTGGGAACATAATCACCAATTGGTTACACCACGTGGTGTGTCATTCCTTCGATCACATAGGCATGTGAAGAGTCCTGATAGATAACAAGCAAATGCATATGTTATCCTCAATGTTATAGTATGAAGTGTAATTGCTTGAAACTGGAATCTTTTGGTATTACATGTTGCCACATGATAACAGTATTCAAATATGAGCACATTAAAAGGTTCCCTCCAAGCCTCATCTTGAAGCGCTNAATGCATATGTTATCCTCAATGTTATAGTATGAAGTGTAATTGCTTGAAACTGGAATCTTTTGGTATTACATGTTGCCACATGATAACAATATTCAAATATGAGCACATTAAAAGGTTCCCTCCAAGCCTCATCTTGAAGCGCTGGACTATTTTCACAAAAGGGTATTTAGGAAATGACGATGTGCCGTAAATAAGTAACACTCTGATCATTTTGACACGATATGCTGGACTAATGGCCATGTGTAGTCGTATGAGTTACTATGGTTCTCATGGTTACAAAGCAACTCAGCACCTAAAAAGTACATTGCATAGATTAATCTCTCAAATGAAGACCAATCATGAATCCCTTGGTAAAGGAGATGAGACCTCTACACAACACAAAAGTAGGACTACTGAGTTAAATAAGTTTGGGTAGCTGACCCACATATTGTTACAACAAAGGGGCATCCAGGTCGTACTCGTAATAATAATCCATTTACGTCCCGAAGATGTAGCAAGTGTAGGGCGACTGGGCATACTATTCGTAAATGTCCTTTGTTGACTGCCCGGACTACTGATCCACATGAAGGCATGCCCTTTTCACAACTAGGTGGATCCTAGCAACCATTGCCAACACAGGAACAGTTTGAGCCTTTCGCATATGTAGGCAAATATGGGTGGAGTTCAATAACATATGTATAACACAAAGTTCCCCTTTTATTTGATGCTTTATAAGTTATCAAGCAATGCACCATTTCCTAATGCATAGTTTATCAATACATTGATTGTTCAGGATGGCTTTCATGACTTTCACTCAAGTGGTCATGAACAATTCGTCACTTTACTAATGTCAAGGTGAGCATTTTCATATCATTGGAAAATTTGCATACCATACATGATTAAATTGACTAAACCATTCAAAAATTTTCTGTACAGGGTAAAACGACCACTTTTGGACAAGTTTCATTTATGCAACTCATTTTGGACAACTTTCATGTACGCAAATCATTTGGGACAAGCTTCACGTATGCAACTCATTTTGGACAAGCTTCTACAATTGCTGGATCACCACACGAACCAGGTGGGATTCACCTACATAAATGATGAATCTCATTTACATGTTTATCCTCTACATGGTTGCCTATCCAACTGAGCAGTATGTTGCTGCTTTCTTCTTCTCTTGTATGTTGCTTTGCTGCTGAACTAGCAAATATTATGCACTATTTCACTTATGTTCAGTTGATAGCTTGGTTTGGGAAAACATATGGAATTTTAGGGGGGAAACATAAATGGGTGAGAGGGAGGAACGACTGCTCTATACAAGGGTCATTGCTATGTTGAAACATAATGTGGTGGAAAAAATGAACGATGAAATACTACTTTTAACAACACCATACAACAAAATATTTCCTACCATTGCCAAAACATTATGTTCAACAGAATTGATAACATTTTATAGGTTACAAGGTCGCCAACTCTAATATGGCCCAAAAGATTTACACGCATANATTGCCAAAACATTATGTTCAACAGAATTGATAACATTTTATAGGTTACAAGGTCGCCAACTCTAATATGGCCCAAAAGATTTACACGCATATACACATTTCAATTCAAAGGAATTGCTTCTAGACAAAAGCCATCAACATTAGTTCTTTCCATACTCTTTAAATTCCTTGTAAAACCCATCAATCTTACTCTCCAACTTTTCCAAAGATCCCTTCGTGCATTCTTGAAAGGCATGAAAATGTATGGCCAATGAATTTTGCCTAGTTAGTATTTACTCCAACTTTTCTCCAATATTATTCATGTTGACGGGACTGACACTTGAACCCTCGCCCTTTCTCACAATAATGACCTCAGTTTGGGAATAAGACAACTGTGAGGCAATCTTGCCATGATTTCTAGGCCCAACATGAATGACACTTTTTATCATAGTACCCTCATTTATCATACCCATGGCATCATTATACGATTCACTAGGTTCAATCACAACCCCATAAGGCTTTACAATATTTGTAATCAAAATAGGAAAGGGAAGACTTTGTTTGCTATCCTGCAACTCATATGCATTAAGAATCAGCTGGAATATGTAATGGAGAAGGTCAATGCATGCCCCTTTACCAATCGCATATAGAAGTTGAGCTCTATTATATCCAAGTTCAGTTGTATGTCTTTTGAGATTAATTTTACAAGCAAATATTATGTTTAACATCCTGTAAGGCAAACAAAGGTCTTTCTGATATATTTTTATGTTCGCATCCACCCAATCGATAGCAACATCACAAATTGTCTCAATAACCATTTCCATGCTGGGGACTTCGTCCTTACTTTTATAAGGAAATACAGTTGTATTCTCAGTGATGAGAAGCCTAAGAACTTTCAACATTTTTGAAATAAAATCAGGAGAAACTTCTATTTCTTTACCCCTAAATAGAGACTTCAAAGTGTGCCCAACCTTATCAAAGTCATGTAAAATTGCATAAAACAATCTAACTATGTTGTCATATGCTTTATCATCCTTCTTAACATCAAAGATGTTGTCCTAATTACGACCTCGAAAAAACATAGGACACTTTGCATTACCTAACTCACCCAGTGCAACAACTCGTTGCACTAACAATGGGGGATGACAAAAACAGGTTTCAAACAATTTTTTTGCATCTTCGTTTAGGAAACCAGTGTGACCTTTTGAACTCTTACATGTTTCACCATCCTTCTTCTTCTGGGTAGTAATAACTTTCTTATTCATGCCATTCATTGCCTTCCTCTTCTTTGTTGCTCTGGCTATTCCTCCAGCCATCTCGATTTGAACGAAATTGTTGGGGGAAGGGATTACAACTTCTTTGATTGGATGTACAGAGGACCCATATGTTCTGAAATTGATTGGGGGGGGATGTATTGTTTGCAACTTGTTCAAGTTAAGGGGGTTAGGGTTTGGAAGAACTCAATAATGGTGGGGGGAATACATCTGCAATGGGTAGCGATAGCACTTAAGGTGCAAAATGACAAAAATAACCAACAGCTAATTCCTGATACCCCTCTACCACTTGAGGTGTTTTTTGTAATTTCCTATCTTCTATTTGAATCGAATTTAAGGTATTTTTATTGAACAATTTCTATTGATCAATCGTAATTTTATGGATCGATCACAATCAATAAAATAAGGGTTAATATTTCAAAAACAAATTTGGAAGTAAATTATCATATTTTTTGTGATCGATCTACCATTATTAGATCGATCACAAAACAATCTCTTATCCATCACAATTTACTTATTCGATCAAACTCCTTCTAAAATCGAAAACATATTACAAGTATGATTGATCGTAATTATACTGATCGATCCTCAGCAAGCCCCTACCTTCATCCATCTTGTTGTAACTCATATGAAAATATCAATTGATCATTTTATATTATGATCGATCATAACATACTTTTAACTTGCAATGCACCTTTTAGCCAGTTGCCCTTTTATGCTCTTCTTTTTCCCATTGTCTTTTCCTCTGAAAAGGCCCCACCGACTTTTCTGTATGGTACTGTTATTCCACTAAGCGGTACCATAGACTCTCCCTTAACAATGGGACAGAATAGTGTTAGTCAAGTTTTTGTTTACAGATGTTCAAAATGATGTTCTGGAGATAGTATGTGTGGATATCGATTGACATCAAGCAATGGCATTGAAGCATTAAGTTTGATTTTGCTATTGAATTAGAGAAAGGAAGACTTGTAATGTTTGTATAAGTAATCAATTGATTTTAGAGTATGGGCTTTTTGAAATTGGGAATAACAATTTCCAAGCAGCTTGATATCGAGTGACAATAGAATTCAATGATGTTATTATTAGGGGAAAATTGTGGTTTTATACTTATTTGTGTAAAAGTACCTCAATATAAAACATATGTANTAAATTCCTTGTAAAACCCATCAATCTTACTCTCCAACTTTTCCAAAGATCCCTTCGTGCATTCTTGAAAGGCATGAAAATGTATGGCCAATGAATTTTGCCTAGTTAGTATTTACTCCAACTTTTCTCCAATATTATTCATGTTGACGGGACTAACACTTGAACCCTCGCCCTTTCTCACAATAATGACCTCAGTTTGGGAATAAGACAACTGTGAGGCAATCTTGCCATGATTTCTAGGCCCAACATGAATGACACTTTTTTTCATAGTACCCTCATTTATCATACCCATGGCAGCATTATACGATTCACTAGGTTCAATCACAACCCCATAAGGCTTTACAATATTTGTAATCAAAATAGGAAAGGGAAGACTTTGTTTGCTATCCTGCAACTCATATGCATTAAGAATCAGCTGGAATATGTAATGGAGAAGGTCAATGCATGCCCCTTTACCAATCGCATATAGAAGTTGAGCTCTATTATATCCAAGTTCAGTTGTATGTCTTTTGAGATCAATGTTACAAGCAACTATTATGTTNGCATATAGAAGTTGAGCTCTATTATATCCAAGTTCAGTTGTATGTCTTTTGAGATCAATGTTACAAGCAACTATTATGTTTAACATCCTGTAAGGCAAACAAAGGTTTTTCTGATATATTTTTATGTTCGCATCCACCCAATCGATAGCAACATCACAAATTGTCACAATAACCATTTCCATGCTGGGGACTTCGTCCTTACTTTTATAAGGAAATACAGTTGTATTCTCAGTGATGAGAAGCCTAAGAACTTTCAACATTTTTGAAATAAAATCAGGGGAAACTTCTATTTCTTTACCCCTAAATAGAGACTTCAAAGTGTGCCCAACCTTATCAAAGTCATGTAAAATTGCATAAAACAATCTAACTATGTTGTCATATGCTTTATCATCCTTCTTAACATCAAAGATGTTGTCCTAATTACGACCTCGAAAAAACATAGGACACTTTGCATTACCTAACTCACCCAGTGCAACAACTCGTTGCACTAACAATGGGGGATGACAAAAACAGGTTTCAAACAATTTTTTTGCATCTTCGTTTAGGAAACCAGTGTGACCTTTTGAACTCTTACCTGTTTCACCATCCTTCTTCTTCTGGGTAGTAATAACTTTCTTATTCATGCCATTCATTGCCTTCCTCTTCTTTGTTGCTCTGGCTATTCCTCCGGCCATCTCGATTTGAACGAAATTGTTGGGGGAAGGGATTACAACTTCTTTGATTGGATGTACAGAGGACCCATATGTTCTGAAATTGATTGGGGGGGGATGTATTGTTTGCAACTTGTTCAAGTTAAGGGGGTTAGGGTTTGGAAGAACTCAATAATGGTGGGGGGAATACATCTGCAATGGGTAGCGATAGCACTTAAGGTGCAAAATGACAAAAATAACCAACAGCTAATTCCTGATACCCCTCTACCACTTGAGGTGTTTTTTGTAATTTCCTATCTTCTATTTGAATCGAATTTAAGGTATTTTTATTGAACAATTTCTATTGATCAATCGTAATTTTATGGATCGATCACAATCAATAAAATAAGGGTTAATATTTCAAAAACAAATTTGGAAGTAAATTATCATATTTTTTGTGATCGATCTACCATTATTAGATCGATCACAAAACAATCTCTTATCCATCACAATTTACTTATTCGATCAAACTCCTTCTAAAATCGAAAACATATTACAAGTATGATTGATCGTAATTATACTGATCGATCCTCAGCAAGCCCCTACCTTCATCCATCTTGTTGTAACTCATATGAAAATATCAATTGATCATTTTATATTATGATCGATCATAACATACTTTTAACTTGCAATGCACCTTTTAGCCAGTTGCCCTTTTATGCTCTTCTTTTTCCCATTGTCTTTTCCTCTGAAAAGGCCCCACCGACTTTTCTGTATGGTACTGTTATTCCACTAAGCGGTACCATAGACTCTCCCTTAACAATGGGACAGAATAGTGTTAGTCAAGTTTTTTGTTTACAGATGTTCAAAATGATGTTCTGGAGATAGTATGTGTGGATATCGATTGACATCAAGCAATGGCATTGAAGCATTAAGTTTGATTTTGCTATTGAATTAGAGAAAGGAAGACTTGTAATGTTTGTATAAGTAATCAATTGATTTTAGAGTATGGGCCTTTTGAAATTGGGAATAACAATTTCCAACCAGCTTGATATAGAGTGACAATAGAATTCAATGATGTTATTATTAGGGAAAAATTGTGGTTTTATACTTATTTGTGTAAAAGTACCTCAATATAAAACATATGTATATAAGTACCTTTGTGTGTAAATGTTTTGTGAGGAGATACACTTTTACTGATTTTTAAATTTTTCTTTTACAAAATTGCCCTTTTCCTTTATTAATGGGAAACAAATCTAGCAGTTATATAAGAGATTCAGTTTCCTAAATTTATGCAATAACATTTTTAAATTTTAAATTATATATTCCTCTTTCATTCAATTAAAGTTATTCAAACATTTATTTTTATTCAAACATTCATGTCTTTCCCACATTTGTATAATTTAATTTTTTTTATAAATTGTAATGAGGAATATATGTTTTCACCTTATATAATATCATTGGTTGTTATGAGTGTTTTTTTTCCATAAATATGTTAATTTTAAATTTATATGTATGTTATTTGATGTGTTTATAAGTAGCAGTAGTACATATAGCATTGACACAGTGGTACACGACAATGGCACAGTGCTATAAGTCAATGTCATATTGATACAAGCCAATGTTACATTGTTGTGAGAATGCAGTTGTTTATGGCCTCTTTGTTTTTTTTTTTGAAAAATGATCGAACACTTGGTGTGCATGTAGTATCAAGCACTAGAATCAGAAAGGTAGTAGAGGGAAAAAAATGTAGATAAAATAAAAACATTTGAAGAAACAACGTTTTTTCTTAAGTTATCAACTTCTTTTCCAAAAACTTCAACGACCTCAACCGTCGTTCTTCTCCACAATACGCCTTCTTTTACAACACTTTTCAACGCTCTCACTAGTCTTTCTTCACCACAATGTACGCCTTCTTCTTCGGCGATTTTGGCGTGGTCATCACGGTCTGATACAAAGCTTTTCACTTATTCATATTGAACCCATAAAAAAAACACCATTTTGAATAGGACGTTTTGAAAAGAATGAAGGTTTTAGAGANACACGACAATGGCACAGTGCTATAAGTCAATGTCATATTGATACAAGCCAATGTTATATTGTTGTGAGAATGCAGTTGTATATGGCCTCTTTGTTTTTTTTTGAAAAATGATCGAACACTTGGTGTGCATGTAGTATCAAGCACTAGAATCAGAAAGGTAGTAGAGGGAAAAAAAATGTAGATAAAATAAAAACATTTGAAGAAACAACGTTTTTCTTAAGTTATCAACTTCTTTTCCAAAAACTTCAACGACCTCAACCATCGTTCTTCTCCACAATACGCCTTCTTTTACAACACTTTTCAACGCCCTCACTAGTCTTTCTTCACCATAATGTACGCCTTCTTCTTCGGCGATTTCGGCGTGGTCATCACGGTCTGATACAAAGTTTTCACTTATTCATATTGAACCCATAAAAAAAACACCATTTTGAATAGGACGTTTTGAAAAGAATGAAGGTTTTAGAGAAGTTTTCTCATCAATCTTGGAAGAACCCACATTCTGGCAATATTGATGGAGTTTATGGGTAACAGGGGCGGCCCAACAAATCTGGAGGCCCTAGGTGAGAATATAAAATGGGGTCCTATTAATAGGCAATAATTATTAAAGTTTTATATTCAAGTTTTGTTAATATATCTTTTTCAATGGATAATATAGCTAATCCATTTAATATTTCTTGTGACATAGTTGATCAGAGATAATACTTTATTAATTTAAATTTTGAAAACTTTTTTTTGCCGAAGCAACTGTTACTGGTATTGTTAATCATATTCTAAAAGATATACATGCATTTGGAAAAGAATCTAATCGTTTTATATAATTTAGGGTTTTTGTTGGAGTGTTAATTTCATATTGTAGAACTTTTCTTAATACAGTCAATTCTTGAAATAAATCTAAACCATCAATATCAGAAAATAAATCATTCTTCACAAAATTTTCAAGGTTAAGACAATAACTTTTCAAACTATCATCATCTAAGGATTTTAATTTTTTAAAACAAAATACAAACCAAAAATATTTTCATATATTTTGAATTGTTCAAATCTACTCTTGATCGAAGAAATAGCTAGATCAACTATAAATAAAAAAAAACTCAATTTTAAAAGATTCTTTAGCCGATAGTGTTACTGCGTNTTTTAATTTTTTAAAACAAAATACAAACCAAAAATATTTTCATATATTTTGAATTGTTCAAATCTACTCTTGATCGAAGAAATAGCTAGATCAACTATAAATAAAAAAAAAAACTCAATTTTAAAAGATTCGTCAGCCGATAGTGTTACTGCATNTGTTCAAATCTACTCTTGATCGAAGAAATAGCTAGATCAACTATAAATAAAAAAAAACTCAATTTTAAAAGATTCTTTAGCCGATAGTGTTACTGCGTTCTCAATTATAGACAAGAAAGATGTTAAGAGATAGATGTTAAGAGAGAGAGAGACATTAAGAGGTAGACATTGCTAGTTATATTTATCTTCCTTGTTGTAGAAGTCTATCAGTCTTCTATAGCTGGCAAGAAGTCTAGCAGTCTACAATAGCTGGCAAGTGGAGCAATTTTTTAGGTAAGTAAAATTTGGACCCTCTCAAATTAACCCATTCAAAATATATTTACCCAAAACTAAAACTCCTACTTGGGGGTCCCAAAATTTTGCAAAAACTAGGGGCCCTAGGCGGCCAACTAAGTGGCCTAAGCCTAGGGCCGGCCCTGATGGGTAACATTTTCTATCCCTGATGTTTTGGCTAGGTAGGTAAATCTTTAGAAAATTGTTCCCCTTCTACGTAAGGGATTAGTTTAGACATTTGCTATATGTTGTGTACTTTTTGACTAANCCTAAGCCTAGGGCCGGCCCTGATGGGTAACATTTTCTATCCCTGATGTTTTGGCTGGGTAGGTAAATCTTTAGAAAATTGTTCCCCTTCTACATAAGGGGTTAGTTTAGACATTTGCTATATGTTGTGTATTTTTTGACTGANAGGTAAATCTTTAGAAAATTGTTCCCCTTCTACGTAAGGGATTAGTTTAGACATTTGCTATATGTTGTGTACTTTTTGACTAATATTTTTAAATATGATACTTTTGTCTTATATTTTCAAAAAATGTACCGTCCCCTGAAATCCCTATTATTAGAGATATGATAGGATCACAAAAAATCCATCAATATCTAAGGTGAGATACGATAGGATCCAAAGAGATCCATTGATGTCTAGGTTGATGTCGATAAATAGAGATGATGATAGACATGTGTGATTTATTTTTATCTGGTATAATTCTTACCCGATAAATAAGGTTGAGTTCCTTATAATCAATTACCTTGAATAATACATCAATGTAGCCCATAGGACGTTAGATCCGTGGATGTAGGCAAATTGTCAAACCACGTTATTTTTTGTGTCTTGTTCTATTTGTCTTATTACACTTTCTAATCTCTATTATATTATCAATTTCTACATTGTATCAGATCGTCGATGGAACCTCGGTTGAATTGGCTTATACTGTTCCAATTTTAGAATTATTAATCTGACTCATTTGTTGGTTTTCATTGTTAATTTTTTTTTTCCAACTTTGCACTGTCTTGCCTTCATTGCCGTCCAGCCCTCATTGCCAGAAATCATTCAAGTGGAAAAAGTGTTCAAAGAATTATGGAGGATTAATAGTTGATCTTTTGTTACGGTGTTGGAGGCAGGAAAGAGAATATGAAAAAAAAAAAAACAGGATCCCAGGAAAAAATATTAAAAAAAAAAAAAAGAAAAGAAAAGAAAAGAAAAGAATAGAATGTTCAAAAAAAAAAAAGGAGAAAAAAAATTCTTGGAGAGTTTGAGGGAGAGTTTTATCACCAAAGGTACATCATCCGTTTGACAAGCAACCACCCCATANGAAAAAATGAAAAAAAAAAAAAAAAACAGGATCCCAGGAAAAAAAATTAAAAAAAAAAAAGAAAAGAAAAGAATAGAATGTTCAAAAAAAAAAAGGAGAAAAAAAATTCTTGGAGAGTTTGAGGGAGAATTTTATCACCAAAGGTACATCATCCGTTTGACAAGCAACCACCCCATATTTAATTCAAGTTGGACACTTCAACAGATTTCAGTGTACCAACTTGAGAGAGAGTATTAGATATATGATAGGATCATGAAGAATCTATCAATATTGAAGTTGAGATACGATAAGATCCAAAGAAATTCACCGATATCTAAGTTGATTTGGATAAGTAGAGATGATGATAAACAAACTAATAGACTATTTTAAGTGCAAATTCCTTGGTAGACAAATAACATGGGCAAAATAGGTAACAAAATCAGCTTTTGTACCTTTTCAAGTTACTGCTTAACTTATTTTTGAGTATGCTTAGGATGCATTGTTTGCTTTTTATCTCTCTTTTTTTTTTTTGATTAATTGTTATATTGTACTATAAGCCACATCAAATAAGCCAACAACAATAAAATAATAACAAAAAATAATAACTCAAGAATTTTTAAATACTTTAATGATAAGTGACTAACTTTTGGACATCTGGAGTAATTACTCTTACTCCAATAACAAGTGATTAACTTCAATACTTTTAGAGTAAATATTATNAATAACAAAAAATAATAACTCAAGAATTTTTAAATACTTTAATGATAAGTGACTAACTTTTGGACATCTGGTGTAATTAGTCTTACTCCAATAACAAGTGATTAACTTCAATACTTTTAGAGTAAATATTATTCAACCAAAGTAACTGATTTAATTTAGAATAATTATAAAATTACTGTTTTAAGATTGAACAGTTTTATATAATGCATATTCTTGCTTTTAGAATATAATTTTTAAATTCTATCATTACGATTCCAATTCTTTTTGTGAATTACTCCTAGTTATGTGTTAATCATTTCATTCATCAGATTTTTTTTTTAAAAATTTTAAGATATTAAAGTAAATCATTTGTTAATCAAAATAATTTACGTGCAATGCACGNCAGTTTTATATAATGCATATTCTTGCTTTTAGAATAGAATTTTTAAATTCTATCATTACGATTCCAATTCTTTTTGTGAATTACTCCTAGTTATGTGTTAATCATTTCATTCATCAGATTTTTTTTTTTAAAATTTTAAGATATTAATGTAAATCATTTGTTAATCAAAATAATTTACGTGTAACGCAANTGAATTACTCCTAGTTATGTGTTAATCATTTCATTCATCAGATTTTTTTTTTAAAAATTTTAAGATATTAAAGTAAATCATTTGTTAATCAAAATAATTTACGTGCAATGCACGCATTCACCGACTAGTAGCTATAAATTCACATGAGAGAGAGAGAGAGAGAGAGAAAGCCCTATAAATTCACCGACTAGTATACAACCTTTTCTAAGACTACCTTCAAAAATAAAAAATAAAAACCTTTCCCAATGCTCTCCGACCAAATTCTAACCACTGAAGTGAGATTACATTTGTTTAGAAAACACACACCAAGCCCGAAGAACGCCAACCACCATGAACCAAGGAATGCTTTAAGCTCACAACGAATCTTCGCCCTTCACCAATCTGCACTCAAATAAATATATTCCATTTCTTCAAATATAAAATTGGAAGGCACTCATACAAACAATTTAAGCATTTGGCCACTATTCGCAAATAAAAACCTAATGGTTTGTTTATGATGATNCCTTCACCAATCTGCACTCAAATAAATATATTCCATTTCTTCAAATATAAAATTGGAAGGCACTCATACAAACAATTTAAGCATTTGGCCACTATTCGCAAATAAAAACCTAATGGTTTGTTGGAAATGTGCAAAAGATAGAAAAGTATAAGAATCAAAAATAAAATGGAGAAATAAAACTATCATTTTGGTAAAGGGAAAGTAAACAGAACTCAGTAAAAATGGAAGGAAGGAAAAATTAATGAAAAATTAATTATTTATTTGAAAATTTAAGTTATTTACTGAAAATTAATTATTTAGTAATTTTTTTATGCAGATACAATGGTAAAGCATGCATGTGTATTTTTTTTTTTCCTTTCATTTTTTTCATCTTAGCCAAACATATATAATAAAATCAATCATTCTTACATTTTATCCCTTATATGAATCATAAAGGAGGGAAAAAAAATTNTTGAAAATTTAAGTTATTTACTGAAAATTAATTATTTAGTAATTTTTTTATGCAGATACAATGGTAAAGCATGCATGTGTATTTTTTTTTTCCTTTCATTTTTTTCATCTTAGACAAACATATATAATAAAATCAATCATTCTTACATTTTATCCCTTATATGAATCATAAAGGAGGGAAAAAAAAATTTCTTTCCTTACACGATCAAAAGAACATCACTCTTATTTTTTCCATACATTTTTCTAATCTATCATACTAAACACACCGTGAAAAAAAAATACAATACACGAGTACCGTGTTAAAAAAGATATGGAATCAATTCCTACCAAAATGGGCATCCATTTTACACGACACTATTATGTTGTGACACGATTAATTCAAGTTATGAATTGATAAAACTGGATTGTAACTTTCATGACGTAACATAGATGATCTAGCATTGAGATTTAGTAAGAAAATTTGGTAAACATATTATTAACTTTTTTACTTACCATCACTTTTGCTCCGGTATCTTATACAGTAACAAAAGGCTATTCCAAATGACAAAGCAGCTATACCGCCCAGGGCAATCGCTGCCAATTTCCCTGAACTGCCTCCTGTTCCTTTCTCTATCAAACAAATCATTAAGTTAGCAATAAGAAAATACTAATAGAATTTAGACAGCAAAGAAAGACTGTCCATCCAAGTTTGAAAATTTACAAGTTCATTGAGCTGTTGAACCCCAAGGTAGATAAAAGTAGAGTTGACAAACAATTCCGTCACACACAAGAATTGAAATCTCTTTTCATTGGTTAGCTCAAAAAAAAAAAAAATTTGAAAAATTTTATAGAAAAAAACTTAAAATTTATCGAAACATCTTGAGACATAACAATTTTTATAATGAATCACTAGTTCGTTTCGGTTCTGTGAAATCGGAACGTTTTGGGCTTTTCAACAGGAACAAAACAAAATTTGGATCCTCGCAGTGAGAGAGAGAGTTCCATTTTTTTCCCCTGGGGGACAGAGTACCTGGGTATGAGTTGCCAGCCATGCCATTATAATAATTGCTATAGCTAATGAAGCAATTGTCCAGATAGATATGACCAGAATCAGAGTTCCCACATTCATGCTGAGCAATTTGTGCAGCGCTGACAACACATTGCTCACAATCACAAGCACCCAAGTTCCCCTCACACTGCGCAGTGACATGAACTGACTCATAATTCATATCACAGAACCCATTACCATTCATAACACAGCTTTCAAGTGCTGCAAAAGCTTCATCTCTCAGCTCTTGAAACCCACTCGACGTCGCACTCGATTCACTGCAGGTATTGTGAAACAATTGAAGCCGAGACGTCTCAGTGCCATCCGCCTCGTAGTGTATGTAGCACCCAGAAAGCTGAACCCGAGCCCGAACCGAATATCCACACCAACTGTTTGATGTTTTTGGTAGTGAATTCACGCAGTTGTGACACTCATCATTGCTAATATCACCTCTGCATTGAAAGCGGCCCAATATGGCGGTTTGATCATCGCCTACATTGGTTTCAAAGAACTTGAATTTTGATGACTGCAAGACGAGTTCTTGGAAAAGAGATGAAAGTATTGGTGGAACAGACGAAGTAGTGTCTGTGAATGTCTGGTTTGCACAGTGTTTGTAAACAAAGTGGTTATAATCTTCTGGACTGGTGTTAACGGCTGGTAAAAGTAGTCCAAAACATAAGAAGAGCATAACTCTGCCATAGGCAGATGAATCCATCTACGCCTGCTGTTATCGGCTCGACTAGAAGACGGTGAAGAAAAAGAAGAAGAAGATTGAAGGTATCCCGTGATCGTGATATCGTTTGCATCTAGAATTACTTCTAACTCAAAATAATAGGCCCAAAGGGAAGGTGATCTTTGTTCATTTCAAGATGGTTATGTGAGTTTTTGGTTCAAGTTTTATACTGAAATATGTTGGAATTCAAGCTAAGAATACTTTATGGCATAAGTTTTGGCATTTTGGTCCTGAGAGGTTGAGGGTTTATTCCTGCCTAACTTAATCTAACCTTGCGGTAACTTGAGTGCTCCAATACCACACGCTTAAAAAATAAAGGTAAAAGCATATGTTAACAACGCACAAAACCCAAAAGCGACAGTTAGGAAAAGTAAATAAACAAAACCCATAAGTTGATTAAGCCATCGATCAAAATGTAAGCATAAATTTGCAATGTTTTGCATTTGAGTCTTTGAAAGCATAAAATTTGGATTTTACCAACGTATGTGATTGCACGGAATTATTAGAAAAATGGTTAAATTACAAATTTGGCCCTCAAACTACAATGTTTGTGTCATTTTTTCTTAATACGTCGACATGTTTCGGCCAAAAGATAACCTATATTTATGTTTCGGGTAACGTGAAACCTATTCAATTAGTTGAGGAGGGTAATGTGAGAGATGAAGGGCATAGCTTAGGAGGTTAAGTGTAAGTGTAATTAACCCAAAAAGAAATAATTAATATGCATGTTTGATGGTAGTTCACCTTAAAGGTTGTGTGTGAACTTCAGCTTCGTCAAAGCACAACCAGGCTTCCGGCTTTCCTTTTTCGGTTAGGCTTGACCAATCTTGAGTAAATTTTTGCTGCACTTACCTTCCATTTGTACTTTTATTTATACTTCAGTTCCTCTCACCTGGATTTTTATCTATACACGCAAGTCATCGTACATTGCCGTTTATTCAGAATAAAAAATAATTCATATCCTACAATTTTTAAAATTCAATACAACTATATCAATAATATCACGTGGTGTAACTATCGAATAAGAAAGTTAAAAAATGGATAAAATGAACCTCATCTCTAGGGGTGTTCACCCGACTCTGTGGGTAAGAATTATGGTATTCGATCTTTCGAGTCGATGTTTTACNCCCATAAGTTGATTAAGCCATCGATCAAAATGTAAGCATAAATTTGCAATGTTTTGCATTTGAGTCTTTGAAAGCATAAAATTTGGATTTTACCAACGTATGTGATTGCACGGAATTATTAGAAAAATGGTTAAATTACAAATTTGGCCCTCAAACTACAATGTTTGTGTCATTTTTTCTTAATACGTTGACATGTTTCGTCCAAAAGATAACCTATATTTATGTTTCGGGTAACGTGAAACCTATTCAATTAGTTGAGGAGGGTAATGTGAGAGATGAAGGGCATAGCTTAGGAGGTTAAGTGTAAGTGTAATTAACCCAAAAAGAAATAATTAATATGCATGTTTGATGGTAGTTCACCTTAAAGGTTGTGTGTGAACTTCAGCTTCGTCAAAGCACAACCAGGCTTCCGGCTTTCCTTTTTCGGTTAGGCTTGACCAATCTTGAGTAAATTTTTGCTGCACTTACCTTCCATTTGTACTTTTATTTATACTTCAGTTCCTCTCACCTGGATTTTTATCTATACACGCAAGTCATCGTACATTGCCGTTTATTCAGAATAAAAAATAATTCATATCCTACAATTTTTAAAATTCAATACAACTATATCAATAATATCACGTGGTGTAACTATCGAATAAGAAAGTTAAAAAATGGATAAAATGAACCTCATCTCTAGGGGTGTTCACCCGACTCTGTGGGTAAGAATTATAGTATTCAATCTTTCAAGTCGATGTTTTGCAGAAAACCAATTTATTAGCCAACCTTACTCGATCAAGGATTATGTTTTTGCCGAATTCCATCCAAAACAGTTGACTCGGGATTCGGATAGGGTTGCAAAATATATGTCATATTTACAATTTTTTAGTTATTAATTTTTGAATTATTTTAACAACTCAATTAATTATTATTTTTTTTGGATTACTTTTACAATTATGTGGTTAACATATAAAATAATAATATGTAAACCAACACAATAAATCACTAACACTAAAAAAAATAATTAAAAATCCGAAACAACTCCCTCAAAAGAGCAAACATCATAATATTAACCATTAAAAACAAACAAACAAACATCCAGAAACATCCAAACTTTTTGTTTTCGTGTTTTCAAAAAAATACCAAACAAAAATAGTTTTGTTTTGTTTGTGAAAAAATAAAAAACAAAAAATATGTTTGAGAGTTATTTATGTTTTCCAAATTATGAAAATAAAAATAAAAAACATGTTTGATAACCACTTCAAATTATCATAATTAGTAGCTTTATAATATTTTCTTCTCCCAACACATCTACTAATTCATCAAATAAATCTTAAAACAAGATAGTTGAATTATGAAAGTCATTAAACATAGTCATACATCATATTATTCAACATACTATCAAATATACACATTAATAAGTTATATCACTAAACTAAAATCTCAATAATTAGTACAAACATCACGAATAGTAGTACCAAAAATGTATCAATAGTGAGTTGTTGCCCCACAATAGATCGGCAATTATATATTTGACATAAGCCATTTCACGTGGTTGACTCGAACTTAAATCTATTTCGATTGGGCCCTATGAACTTGATCCTACACCAGCTCTGTCAGTATCAATAACTTCTCTTCATTCCCAATCGACAAATAATTGATCTTGGTAAGAATGCATACTAATGAAGTTATGGACTGTATAACATGTTGTGGGAATGTATTTCTGTGTTCTTAAGGGATAGGGAGCCATTAGTTTGAAAATGGGAAAGCACACCTTTAGAAATCCAAAGCAACACTCTATCACATTTCGAAGTGAAGATTAACAATAATTGAAGAGCTCTTTTTTACCAGTTGGTTGTGGACCCGTACCTCTATACTCACGAAGTGATATCTCTAACCATGATACGGGGATAGAAAATTGGGCATGTTTGTATACCCCGAATCCACAACATAGTATTTATTTGTCAAAATTTATAATTGTAAGATACAGTGTATCATTTGTATGTATAAAGTATTATAAATTCCATGAACAAGTTTACCCTATAGCGGTATTGGGAACTTGTTCTCTAGATTAGCAACATACTCAGCAAATACTCTCGAGTCATAAGCAGTTCCTTCTCACCCACTCATCATAAATATAAATTGCATGTAAAATGAACATGCACTCATTACATTTTGAGTTGAAACAACACACTTCTCACGGTATGGTATCTGGTTATTTGGTAAACCATGTGCATCAACATGGGTTCTATCAATGGGGCCAACACAATTCTTCAATGACATTGAAACTATCGAATATTACAACAAATAACTGAAAAATACTATCAATTACCTTAAAGAATGGTATTTTGGGTTGAATCGAAGCTGAGGTTGAACCACACTACAATCGAGAGAGCTGATGATATCAACTCCAAGCTTACAAATTGCTTTCAAAACACGATTGAAGTATTTCGAAATGATCTCTCCCTAATGTTGAAACCTTTCAGCTACTATCCGATTTCGCTCATTATGCAATATTGTTAGTAAAAATATAGCAACTTGTTATTGCAAAGTCACATATCGGGAGTGTTTTGACCATTTTTCTTTCAATTCTTCACAAAACAACATGAACGCGGGTAGGTCTATACTAAATTGCTCATAGCACCTATTTTTATGTCCATGTTGTAGCTCCGACACGTAATCATGGCCTCTAAGAACAAAAATTTTACATGGTTTNCAATTCTTCACAAAACAACATGAACGCGGGTAGGTCTATACTAAATTGCTCATAGCACCTATTTTCATGTCCATGTTGTAGCTCCGACACGTAATCATGGCCTCTAAGAACAAACATTTTACATGGTCTTGTTGATGAATTTTGTCTATCTATTCATTATTGAAAAGGCATCCTACCTGTACCATATAATATCCATAAGTAATATCCATTTCTCACAAAACATTATAACTAAGCATGACACATAATATTCATTTCTTACAAAACATTATAACTAAAGCATGACACATAATATCCATTTCTAATAGCTAAACATAGTTAACACACATAAATCCCAAAGTAATATCCAAAATTATACATCACGAAGTACGAAATCTAAAGTACGACCATAAAGGGCATATTCAACCATAGAATTAATATCACAGATGAGTAACAAAGTCCTTCTTCCTATGATGTGGCATAGCTAAGAACATCTTCATATAGCTCGTACCATTACCAAAAATCTTAATGTCTTTTGTTGTTAATGGGAATCAAAGTAGAGACCTCATTAAAATCCTCTCAACCTTTAGATGCGCATTTTTTGTTTTCGGTTGTTTCTAGAAATATGAGTCGTGTTTGGTTATCATCTGCAAAATAGTTTTTTGTTTTCAAAATTTTAAAAACACCTAAAACTTGTTTGTTTAGCATTTTTTTTTTTCAAAATTTTCAACAAAAATTAGATTTGGAACACAAAAACAGAAAATAAGCCTGCTAGGCTTGTTTTCTGGGTTTTATTTGAAAATTGTGAAAACATGGAAAACAAATCAACCCTATTTACTGTGCACTTTTTGTACCACTATAAAAGCATTTTTTTTTTTTTGCATTCTTTTTCCCTGACCCCTCTCTCTCTCTCTTTCTCTCTCTGTTTCTTGCCGATTTGTCTTCAACCCATAGATCTAGTGAGTGAAAACACAGATCCTTTAGTCGTGGTTGTGGGTGTTGCGTGTGGGTTGTTCTTGGTTTGGGTGGTGATGGTGGTTGTGGGTGTTGGATGATTCTTAGTGTGGGTTGGTGGTGGTTGTGGGTTGGTGGTGGTGGTGGTTGTGGGTGTTGGGTGATTCTCGATTTTGATGGTGGTCTTGGTGGTGGGTGTTGGGTGGTTCTCGGTGTGGGTTGGTGGTGCT